GCGAGCCTGCTTGGGAACAAAGCTTTTCAAGCTTTGTTACACGCGGCAAGGATTTCTTGACCTTGCGGCGCAACTCTTTACAATATTCTCGGTTCTGATGCGACACCTGGTAAACGGGGATTTTCAAGCTCTTGCCGGCTGTTTCCCATGCGCGAGCTCCATCTGCGTACAGCGCACGGGTTTTCTTTGTGTTGATCCGGGACAACAAGTGGCTATCCCGGATTTCTGCCCAAGACTCAACTGGCGGTCGCGACCTGGTCAACATGCACAAAGTAAAGTCAAAACGATTGTTTGTATCAACAAGGAACTCCACAGACAGCACAAGAAAACATACTATGAGGTCGAGCACCCACAGGCCGAAGGAAGCGAATGATGAGTTGCCCTGCGGTGCCTCGCTCTCGCAGTCCGAGGATTCTGCAATGGCAAGGATAAGCATCATGCTGCTCACCTGACTTGCGCTCGACCTGATAGATCAAGTCCACCAGGGGGGCATTGGTCTGTCGCACGTGGATTTTTTTCCACGGATGTTGCGTCCATTTCCACTGCCCCAGACAGTTTTGCAACTTTGCAAAAATCGGTGTCTGCTGCTGCTTCTCTCTCCAGTGCCGAGGAAGTGCCGGACAGTGCTGTAGCCATGACCAGAAGTTTGGATCATATCTTCTATTCTCAGAGGCCTGCTCAAGCGGGCGCAGCTGTAGTGCAGCAGCAGGGCCACCAGTTCATGCGGCGCACATTGCAAGCCTTTCCAGTGCGAGCACGACAAAAAGCTGCCCGGTGTTGGCACGACCATGCTTTGCATCTCCAGTGCCAAAAAGGCTTTCTGCCTCGGCCCGTCCATGGCAGCATCGTGGCAGCCAGGGCAATCCTTTGGTCGAGAGACAAAGACACGATTCAGCAGCCACCGCACTGACAGCTCGTCTGACTCTGTGCTGGACCAGTCCAGAGGATCCGGCTTCTTGCGGCGGGCATGTGTCCATTTCCCGCTGCTGGCAGCGCTGCCTGAATAAGACTTTGTGGCATTCGAACGGTAATCGCCAGTCTTGGGGGCATGGCTTCTGAGTTCTTTGTGCCTGGGCTTGGGTCTCTTGGAGGTACCCTGTGCACGGCGGAGCTTCTTCTTCAAGGTTTTGATGACTCCAGCAGCCGTTGGAGGACATGTTTCCAAGCGATGGTCGATTGCATGGCAAGCTGAACAGCGATGCTGCTGGTCACGTCTAGATCTAGCGGATGGGCGCTTCATGGCCTTGAGCTTTCAAAACTTTCAGAATGCAAATGCTAATCCTTAGTGCAAACTACGAACGTGCTGGCTTTCCCTTCGGCAGTCCGAATCTTTCAAGGACCTATTATCCAACAAAGCCCTTCATGAAAGCCCCCTAAACCCGCTTGGTTCCCCTTAGTTGCTGCGTCTGCTTTTACACCGCGCGGTCACCATGCAAAAGCTGCCAGCGGATATCCCTCCTAATCTGCTTGCGGGTCTGTAGCACGCCGCGTGGCAGCACGGCTTCTTCGGCTGCTGTTGGCTTTTGCCAAAACCAGCAGCAGCGTTTGCCATCAGAAGACCGTGCCTGCCATCGCCGGCAACGCAAGATGATCAACCCCCTAATGCTGTCCTGAAGCGTGCGCTATTGGCACCAGTGGGCAAGAATGCCGCGGACATCGCCCCCACTTGCAAAAGCGAGGTGGTCGCGGGGGGTGCACAGCTTCAGGTGACTCACAAAAAACTGGCATCTTTCAATTTCCCAAGCCAACAAATCTCTATCCAAGGCAGCCTCCACAGGATCAACATCCGGAATGTATTCATCCGGAAAAGATTCTGGGCCAAAACATCAAAGGCAAGGATGCGAGGTCGTCAGCTCTTCGCAAAGTCAGCCGAATCCACAGCGCAAGGCGCAGGTGGACTCGGAGGCGATGGCTCCGGCTGCGCAGTGCCAGCGCTTTAAAAGTCAAAAGCCTGGCAGACAGCACAAATTGGGAAGAGGCCAGCAACCTGTCAGCCCGTAGCTGCAAAGCATAGCGGCTCCACAAATCTCGCAAAAGCGGCAGGCCAGCTCTCAGCGCCCGAAGATACATTTGCAACGTGCCGCCAAGCACAATGTCTGCAGCTAGAATGGCCATGTCGTCTCCGCGATTGCCAGCAGCTAGCACTGCGTGCGTGCTATCCAAGTAGTAAATGTCTTCCTCCATTAACAGCCGTAGCCCTATGAGCAAATCACGGGACGGGTGTCTCGCCACTCTCAGAAGCAAATGATATGTCAGCCCAGAAGTTCCAGATCCGTGGCAGGCAAGAAAGAACAAAACAACACAAAACTGCACATCAATATGGGCCAAATGACAGCATGCTGCAAAATGTCCGTGCTCTCCAACGCAAACACATTGCAGTCGACAAGTGTAGTATTGCCCCCCCACCCCCCCACCCCCCCACGTGCATCGTGTTTGCCGGGGAGGCGCGAAACAACCAGGCGCCTGGCAGCGCTGTTGCCATCTATTTGCCTATGCGCCCTTTCATCTATCTCACCTGTCTATCAAGCGATCTGTCTGACTGTGCCCAAGAAGCAGAGCACGTCGACGGCGGCCAACTTTTTTGCAGATCTATCTGTCACATGTCTATCTTTTTCTCAATTCATCTATATGTCTATCTGTCTGTCTGTCTGTCCGTCTGTCTATCTATCGGCCTGTCTGTTCATTGGTCTGTCTACTTGTTTACCTATCTACAAATACCAATCATATACCTAGGTATCTTTTCATTGCGCCTGTCAGAAGCTCCGTGTTCGACCTTGCGAGGAAAGTGTTGCACGAAATCTGCACTTGACCTTGCGAAAGCGCAGCGCCTGCCACGTTTTCGGCACGTGAAAGTTTGCGCGTCCGTGCCAGTGAGATTTGCGAACACAGCATCCCAACATTGCAAAAGTGGTGCGCCTGTCACACACATCTGTGGCTGACGCTACGAAAGTGTTGCGCCAGCGAAGAAATCTGCACGCGACCTTGCGAAAGGGTTGCGCCCGTCAATACCAGGTCGCGAATCGAACAAAGTGCTGCGCCTGCTCGGAATCTGTACCTCAGCTTGCCGCAGCGCTGCGCCTGTGCGTGCGTCCGTGGCATGCCCGGCCCCGAACCCGTTCGGCACCTGTTCCTCACCCCGTTCCGAACCCGCGAAACACGCGCAGGGCGCCCACTGTGAGAGTGAGAACTATCTATCCCCAAGTACTGCACCTGTCACGCAATCTGAACACATGTCACCTCTACTTCCTTTGACCATATGCATGCATGCCGAACGCATACAAAAACATACCAAAGACATGCGCCATGTATGAAATGGACCTGTGCGCAATGTTGTGCAGCTTTATGCCAAACTATACATTGTCTCATCTGATTTGCAGGTTTGTATGAACTACAAATGCATACAGATTGCACACGAAATGCATCATACGTCCCATAGGAAATGCATAACAAACGTGCAGAAGTGCACCTATCTCGCATGTTTGTCTCACGGAGTCCAACCCAATGCAAGAGAAGCAGGTCGAAAACTGAAGCAAAGCTTCAAAGCAAGCAAGCTGGTGATGCCCAGCGTGGCCGGCTGCCAATCCCCGGCATGACCAGCCCCCGACACACACCGCATCGGCGGAACCAGACATGCAAACATCCGAAGCTGCATGCCACAAATGCATACGTAAGGCACATTATATGTAGCAGGCATGTTGCATGCCTGTCCTGGATAGTGCCGTTTGAGGTCATGCCAAGTGCATACAAAATACAGAGAAGGCAACCATACCAGAGTCTGCCAGAGCCAACAATACATTTCATTTGCATGCATTTTGAGTTCTCGGCAGAATCTCCCAAGCACACCGCATCACCAGCATATCCAGCATCATCTGCTCGCGGCTCAAAAACTACTAGAATCGCTCTGCAAATCCCCAAGCAAAATTGCAAAATGGGTCCCTGTGGCCTACCGTGGAAGCCACCCCTCCGACTCAAGACTCAGACTCAAAACAAAAAGGATAGCTGCCCCGAACAAGAAACCCCGAGGCTTGAAACCACGCACGTGTTCCCGAGGTGCGAATTCAGGTGGCTGACCAGGTCATGCTGCTCTTCGGTGATGGTGTGGAGGATTCGCTGCCAGGAGCTGAAGGTACAAGTGGCCCAGCCCAGCCAGCAAGAAAGCCTCTGGCAAGAGGCGAGGCAAAAAGAGGCCCTGCTTTCTTTGTTTCAAGTCTTTTTGGAAGGCCAGGGCTGCAGAATTGATTTGGACCAATGGCCCCTTTTCAGGCTGGAGATCATTTCGATAAGTAGCCCAAGGGCTCAATCATGCACCTTGAAGAGGAAAAAAACACGCTTTCAGGAAAATCATACATTCTGCAGGCACAGTCTAGAAGGAGCAACCCCCCTTAAGCTCCTGAGCGTCCCCTAGACCGAGCAGCTGATGTCGAAGCTCCTGCTTAAACTCCCGATCTGTGCAGGAGTCCTTGCTGTCGTCGGCCTCGCTATCAACTGCCGGGCACCACATCAAGTCATCGCTCGGACGAGCGAGAACTTCCATGGGACGGATAGGAAGCTGCATTGAGACCTGGAGGTCTCGCTACGCAGGCTCAGGGTGCTCTTTTCTGCGAATCCCTCCCGGTGTTCTTTCCTCTTTCTGCGTGTTTTTTGGGGAGGGGGGGGAGTTCTGGCAGGGGGGAACCCTTTTAGGGCGTAGGGTCACAGATTTCGTCGAATAGGATAATCTGAAAAGGAGAACCCGCCAGCAGCGTCCTGCTCGAGCCAGCATACAGCAACGCAACGCATTCTGCTTTGCTCTCCATGTGCAATTCAGCATGCTATATTACAAGATGCTCATAACGAATTGCTTCGTGCTCTTGCTGAAGGCATGTTGTGTTGCTGCTGGACATGGAACGCCCAAGAAAGAGGCCACAACCCGTGGCAAAGCATTCCGAGTTGGACCACGTCATTGAAAGGGCGCTCCTTCCTTCCACACCCCTTACCCCCTTGCCCCTTTGGCCCCCTGCCCTAAGGCACCAGGGAAGTCGGCCAAAAGCAGCAGGGGAGCCTCCGGATTGCCTTGCAGGCAGGTGGCTCGGGCAAATGCAGTCAGCACAATTGAACACCTGTTACTTGATGTAACTCATGAGCAAACATCAACCTCCCTTTAGTTTGCAAATTCCAAGGGGTTTACTTTAATCCTTGGGCCCTTTGCATGTAAGTTGCGTGCCATGCATGCAGCACCAAATGTGAACAAAAGCAAAACACCACAACAGGAAGCAGGCAAACTGTGAAGAACAGTTGCCGTGCCATTCAAATATGTTTGTCGCGCTGACCAAAGGAACGGCCAGGAGCTCTGCAGTGCTTCGGGAGGAAAATACTGTCAGCTGAGAGGAAGCTGATCCTAGTGGGGTTGACTCCCGGCTTGCCCTGCCAGTTACAGTGGAGGTTGGAACTTTACAGCAACCAGCTACTACTACTACTAATGGTCTTCCAAAAGTTGTTAGTGCCCGAAGCGGGGCTTAAGTTATGGAATATTTTGGAATTGGCAGAGTCTCAAATGTCAAAATTGGATGTGTTTTCTTCAGGCTTCCCCGTTTTTTGGTGGTTTTAGGGGGAAGCCAAAAGGGGAACCACCGGTTTTGGGGTCCTCTTTAAAGAGACACGCCCAATTGGGAGCCCTTGAGCCGAGGACCTCACTGCAATTCCGCACGGCCCTGCTGCAGCATTCGCCTGTCGAATGGGCGAATCCCAAATGGACAGCTTTTGCATAAGGGCCTAAGCATTTTTTTCATTTGTTTAACGTTTATCTCTGTGAGCAGGACTCCCCCAAAAACCCATCACTCACAGCATTGGTTTCTGAAAAAATAGAACGGGGCCAAGTGGGTCTAACCCCCTTCTGTCACGCATGTCCAACCATCTTTGAGGCATTGGGTAGTTCGAGGACGCCGGGCGTGGGCACACTTGCTTGCCTCGGCGACTTGTTCGGAATCAATGCCACGAAGTGCTCCAGGGAAATCGGGGCAGCAAGCCGGTAAGCGAATGAAAGGCGCTTCTTCAGCAGCCTCAGATCCCTACAAAAGCTTGCTCTCAAGGGGGCCCCTCAAGTCTACATTGGAAAATCCAGAGATTTGCGTGGGGGATTCTATTCCACATTTCAAAGGTACCCTTATTCAGAGCGCCAGCCCCGAGTTTCCTTTCCAAATCTGCAAAAGCTCGGATAGCGAGAGGGCGGTAGCCCAAGAATTGATCTGGATGTGATTTAAGCTAGCTTGAGCGGTGGCCTTGAATTGGTCTACGTTGGAGCTGGGGCTGGTTTAAGTTTGGCTCTGAAGTGATTGCAGGTTGGTTTCAAAGTTTGTCTATGGTTGGTTTTAGGTTGGGTGAGTGGGTTTAGGGTTGGCTGAGGGTCTGTCCAAAAAGTGTTTTTGAGGGTTGCACTCGGCGTGGTTTCGGTTGGCTTGAGTTCACCTAGGTGTGACTTGCAGAAACACAAGAACAGCCAACTAGAACAACATTCAAGTGCACAGTGGGCACGCTTACTGATCTTGAGCCAAGTGTTGCACCCTAGTCTAGAAAAAGGAGGGATGAACGATCATCTACGAAATCTCTCGCCCAAGATCTCGGTCATGAATATCAGCCAAGGCCGAAATCGTTCGATTGACCACCCAAACAGCTGGAATCCACAGGCCGATCGGGGACACCATCACATGCAATCGAGTATTCTACATCAGTGGCTCATCAACCAGGATGAGCAGCTCAACGAGCAAGCACAAATGAATGAGCTCCAGGTACTCACTCATGCTGGTGCCTTTCCTCCTGCGCCCAAGACGATGCTTCCCGAGTCCAAAGGTTTCTACACGCCCACGCCGACTGCAATGGCCATGCAACCTGGCTATGAGATCACCACCGGATGGTCCCATGAGCGACGAGGAGCTTGTTTAGACTAGCTGGGGGGGGGAGAAGTCAGCACCGGCCGCCTGGGGATTGCAAGCGGTGGAGGAACTCCAGTCACAGCCTTCGGGCAACGGCAGATTGGCGCTAGTTGAACCAGACCATGATGATGGTGAGGACCCGAGGATGACGAGGGCGAAGAAGGAGAACAAGGACAAGATGAAAAAGAGGAAGACGAAGGAAAAAAAAACGGATGAGATAAAGAAGCAAAAGAGCCGGCGTCGACGGAGACGAACCCTGTCTTCTTCGCTTTCATCCTCTTCCTCTGGTTCCTCATCTACGTCATCTACTGAGTCGGCAGAAACATCCTCTTCTAACAGTCGTGAGAGTAGGTCCACAAAAACCGGGCCAAGGATAAGATCGCATTTTGATCCCCCCCGCTAACAGCTGTGCGATTGTGAAAATGGGGGTGCCTCGGGTCTCGTTCTGGGGATCCTCGTGCATAGCGTATCATAGCGTCATCTTCGGCCATGGGAAACCGTGACGCGATGAGCAGGGCAAGTGACACAGCAGGCGCGGCTGTTTTTCTTTCGCGAGGGCCGAGTGTTGCATGTGCATGAGTGGTCGAAGCTGCATGTGCGTTAAAGCCTAGTTAGCAACAACATGATTTATAGTAATTTGGGCGGGCGTATTGTGAAGTGGGGGCTGGGTTCTGGATTTCTGGATCGGTTCTGGTTGAGGCGTGTTTTGCTTGGGTGTGTGGTTGCTCTATGTGTGGCTTGGGGTGTAATGCTTAGTTCGGGTTTCAGGTGGTGGGCTCAGCTGAGGATGGGATTTCGGGCTGCTTCCGGGCTTCAGCGGTGAGCCTTCAGCCATCGCGCCTGGGCAGCAGCTGGGCGTGCCCAGGAAGCAAGAGATGACCTGCGCTTTGCAAAGATAGATGTCATTCAATGTTGAATGATCGGAACGGCAAACTGCCAACGAGGCAAAAATGAACCAGCACATACACAACAATGCCGAGTTAGGATGGGTCAGCATGGCTCAACACATGCCGTGGCAATCAACGCACATACTGATCTTCGCACTTAACCTGGGGAAACAGTTCTTGCAGAGCATCCCAGGATCACTAAGGCCTTGAAGCTCGAAGCAAAAAGATCCTGCGAGTGTTTCTAGGAGAATGCTAACCATCTTTGCTCGCATAGCCCACTGAGGACCCTGATGCCCAAACTGACAAGCAGAAGGGGTTTCTGGAATCATCCAAATGGGTGATATGCGTGAGAGGGTCATAGCAGTTGAAATCCTTAGACTTTGCTGAAGGGCATACAACCTGCCCTGAATGCCGGAAGTAAAGAAATGGCATGACACTGAATTGCTGGAATGCGATTGCAGTTGCGTGGCAAGCCACCGCTTGGAAATCTTTCAGGCTGCAATGATGCACAACATGACAGCCCGAGGGAAACACGCGGCTGACTTCCCCCTTCCACATTTGCAATCAACAAGCAAATGTCCGAAGGCCTCTTTGAAGGACAAAGGAAAACCGATTGATCAAAGAACCATCTAACCGTCCTGGGGATCACGGCCTGCACCACTCGAAACAGGCAACGATAGGCAATGGCAACCCGCATGGTGCCTTGCAACGGGTGTCTCATTCACTTGCCACGCTGCACCCTTGCTGGGCGCCTGGATGCCAAGTGCATCTCCCAGATTCGCGCAAAGAGCCTCAGGTTGGGCAACGCCGCCATGCCAGGTGTGGGTTCAACGGGCCAAGGCCCCAAGTCCATGGGGGGCCGTGGCCTCAGCCACTTCAAACGCAACCCCCCAACCCAGCCAGAATTCGACTCTAGGCATTGCTTATGGCTCTGTGCCTGGTTTGTTTTTGTTCGCTTGTTTTGTTTTCCAAAACAGGGAGCCCCAAAGAAATGGTTGATGTCTCTTGGGGAGGACGGGCTCTCTTCTTTCAGAAGCCGCCCTTTTTGTTGATTATGATTCCTATGCTCTCCTGTGCCAGCGCATCTTTTGCCAGGGCTCTATGCAGAAGCTCCGCTCATGACCAAAACCCCAACAGAAACAAAGTGACGCCAGGGGAAGATCAAAACTCCGCAAAACATGCTGAAACGTGTCAAACCAAGCAAAAAGTACATCGACCAGCGGCATTTTGGTCAGTGATGGTGTCTTCCAATGGTTGTCTGGGCCAGGGCCACAAATCCCTACATGGTGCTTTGCTCACGCGCGCGCGGCAACAAGAAGCCCTCGAAATGATTTCGCGATGCCCCAGCAGTCCATGACTAAGCCAGAACGCATCAAATCCCTGCAAATTCCTGGAAACCCAATTTATGGTGTTCCTTTTGCTTTCCCCAATTTGGAAATCGGTTCTCCCATGTTCCCCCTCATTTTTTGATGGAGGCCCTCCATTGATCCGATAGTCACTGGAAGGCCATAGCGCCCGTCACTATCCGGAAGTCAGGGCTCCCGTAACACGTGCGCCCATTTGGATGCAGAATATGCTTGGTTGCCCGAAAATGGGTCGGCCTTGAGTGGACCAACACGAAGTCTCACGAAGTTGCGAGGTAAGCAGCTTCCACAAATGCAAAGCACATCATGACGCAAACGTGTAAATGATTCTATGTGGGCCGCCTCCATGAAATCCTTCAAACCCTGGCTGCACGAAGCAGCTAAGAACGCATCTACAGCTAGCGTTCCCCTGAAAGTGATGGATCTGATTGAAAATACGGCACCTCCTTGTACGTGGTTTGGTCCTGGGCTCCAACTACTGGTGCGTAGCCGTGAACATTCCCCGCCCTCTCAGCTTGTCAGGACTGCTTCGCGGGCGCTGTCCTTGGGAAGACTGAGCGCCATTGTTGTCATGCCGCTCAATCCGAATTTGATCGAATTGTGCATGTGCAAAAATTGGTGAAAAAATGCCCTTTGCCACAGGTCAAGCGGATTTGCCGATTCCCGAGTTGCGAAATGGCTGCAATTCTCAATCCCCCCGCTCGCTGCAGCCTTTGGGCGTTCAGCGCCCCTTCGGCGCGAACCAAAACGCCTACCCGCCCCGTTTCTCCCGGCGTGCTCCTGTCACTCCCTGTTCCCAGACCTGCAAATCGGTGCCAGGAACTTTGGGCCAAACAAGATGACAACCATTCGACTTTGGGCACCTGCCAAGGGATGAGCCGCGTGGGCTAAACCGGGCGCAAAGCCAAACATGCTCAGGTGGCACGATCGAATTCGGGCGGAGTGGCACATGTTCCAATGGGCAGTCGCCAATGCCCCAAATGATTCGCCTTTGCTGGTTCTTCGGCTATCTTCGCCAAAAAAATGAAGAAACACAAGTTTTCACCGTCCATTTCGAGGGGTCAGGACCCCACTTTCGAACCGCAATCTCAAAACCGGAGAAAAAGGCATCCACCCGTTGCACTTGGAGCCGCCCCAGCCACCCACTTCGGCACTTGTCACCGGGCCCATGGACCCATTTCCTACGGGAGGCCAAGGATCTGCGGCTGTGTCCTCTATGCTACCGCAGAATACGTTCCAACACGTTGCTTGATTAGGATTGCAGCATATTGCAACTTCTTTTGCCGCACCCAAGCGCCCGTCTTCAGCCCTCAAAATGCGTCAAATGGCTCAATTGCAGAACAACCTTGGGCCAATCGCAAACTCCTTGAGATTTATTGGAAGTTCTATGAGGGTCTTGGGCAGGTGCCGTACCTTCCCTGCAGGGGCAGTTAACACGTCAATGTTCCATCATCATCCCAAGTCAGCCTAGCATTCCCCCCAAGGGTTTTGCACGCCAAGGGCATTGCATACGTTCTTCATGCTGGTTCGATGGGCAGGGAAGGAGAAATGGAATGACCCCCAGAAAGAAAAAAATCAAAAACAAAAAACTTCCCTGACTGGGGATATCCCAATACCCCGACGCATGCCGACAGCCAGTCAGCCGCAGCCTACACTTACAGCCAGCCCACCTCAAGCGGGCACTTGAAAGCGAGTCTTCAGCTGCTTGGTTTCGAGGTAGTGGAGAAGCTCCCCTAGAGACCGGAAAGAAAAAAGGCATACGGTGCTGTCCATTCCGGCAAGGCTTCTTTCAAACCCTGCCTTCAGGTGTTGATGGTTCGCCAGTCAGTCGACAAAATAAGGTGTTTTGATCAAGCTCATACGCCAAGCGCTTTCAAGCGCCCAAGTGGTCGAAATGCATGGAGTCGCAGCATTGCCTGTATGTCAGCTGGACAATCCGGATTTGAATTCTCGAGGCGTGGACGCGGGGGCTATACCACAAAGCCTGTAATTACATGCAAATCAGGGTGGCGCCAACTCCCTTGTGAAAACACGCTGGGACCCCTTGTTTAAACAACCTCCTTTTGGTGTCCCTTTAAAGGGACCGGGGTCGATAAAATAAACAAATTGGCCTCACCCTGCAAACGCGACCCCGGCAGCCACACGCGTCTCAAAACCAGGCTCCACCTGTCAGGGAACATCGAACGCAGGAGAAAACTGATACCCCATAGCGGGGAAGGCTCCTTTTTGGATCCCCCAAAAGCCCAGCCTCAGACGTCTGCGATCTTGGGAAGGCTCAAGCTCCTCCATTCGCTGGCATGGCTGGCAGCCTGCGAGCAGTTGAGCCATCCGCGTGAGTGGCAATGAATTCCCACAGCCTAAGGTGCCAATAAAAATTGAAAGAACACTCAAGCGCTATAGCCAAAAAATATCCAAACAAGACAGGTTCACCAGCCATGACCGCATCCATCTAAAATCAGGATGGAAACACAACAGCTAAGCTGCAGCATAAGGCGGAAAGCATCAAGAACCCTTTCGGGACAGGATAGTCTTGACGCGTAGCCCATCGACAACAGGAATGTGCCATATGGGACAGAAAGATATCAACAACATAAGCTTGCCGGGAAGCCTCCCACGGAGACAAGCAAACGCTCAACGGATTAATAGTTGACCGTCTTTCCTGCAAAGCGATGTGAGATCTAAGAGCAGCACGAGTTCACACACGATCTTGGGCGCGGGCGAGCCCTCCAAGTTAATTTGATGGCTTTCGCCCAAGCTTCTTCGGTCAATGTCCATACGCTGCTTTGTCATGCAAAAGCCCATCGTCTCGAATAAGAGACACCAAACAGCAGGCCGTATAAACCAATACCCATTCCGCCATGCCCGAAACTAGTGATGTCCCACAATGGAGAAAGTCTCCATCACCTTCCTGAGCCAATCGCTGCCAATCCTAAGTTGGCTGCTGAAATGCACATGTTGGCAAGTTGAACATCCAACGGTCAATGCCACTCGGACGCGCACAAGCAGAAAGTCTTAGGTGCGCATCTCTGGGCATCACTCCTCCATGAACCTGAAATAACAAAGCCGCATCACCCGTAACCCGCCTTCAAGTTTCAAGTGCACCAAGCTCGGTGCCAACCACACATTGAGGTGAACCACATCTAACCACAGAGTTTGCCTCGTGGGGCGAGGGCCTTTGCCACAACCCCCGAGACCCCAGAAAACTGGGCCTTGGTCGCGGCAGCTCCTGCGGAGCCGAGACTCTCCGTCCCATGAAGGATCGTGGTCGTGTAGATAAACAGGCGGTCTAGCAAAAATGCAACCATTCGTCCATCCCATGCCTGCCTTTCAGACGGATTGTCGTGATTTCGTGCGTGCGCAATTGTGGCATAGGGCATCCCATGGGCAAAGTTTCCTTTCCCACATTCTGGTCTCATTGCCCAACATTTGGCAGGGCTGGTGTAAATTCATGTTCGACCCGGAAAACTGGCCCAACGTTTCATGGGATTCTTCTGGGTATTATAGGGCCCTTCAATTGTGGAGCGTCCGCTTTTGGCCTCTGACTGTGAGCGACTATCTTGATGCTCAGGTGCACAGTGGCTTGCCCTCGGCTTCGTTTCCTTTTTTGGCCTTCGGCTGTAAGTCTAAACCGCCTGGGAAACAACAAGGTACGAGTACGCGTTGATTCCTGTTAACGCTGAATGCTTGTCCCTTTCCATACACCTGCAATGGTTTGCATCTATATCATACTTCCAGAACCTGCAACCTGGGATCCAGAACCTGCACTAAACTGGGATTCGCAAGCCCTTCGAGAAAAACGGAGAACAAAAAACACACACCAAAAAAAACAAACACAAAAAACCATCCGAGAAAAACGGGGAAAAAACACCTCGCGGTTCACCCCAGGCCCTTTTCAGTTCCTTGAGCCTGGCAGCTGCGCAGCTGGCCGGTAAAGTCGGCCCGCCTGGCCACCAGCCAGCCGTCGGTGAGCGGGTCAACTCCACCAGAGATGCAGTGGGTGGACGACCTATGTCCTGTAAACGCCAACAAACAACGGGCTCCCATGGTTTCAAGGTGGTGCAGGATTTCGTCCATCCACAGTATTTCGATCTGACCATTTTTTTGCAACAGCGACAAGGGATCTGGATGAACTATAATATTTCACCCACCTGAAAAAGGTGATTGGGGAAATATTCCCCATATAAACCACCATTTCGGGTGAGGTCGTGTGAGGTCGAGTGATAACTCGGTTGCTTTCTGCTCCCTTGCTAAAAGTTTAGAACTTTTGGTGGTTTAGTGGAAAAACCTATTAGTTTGGAAAAAGCCTAAAAAGCTAAAGTCCTAACATCCAAGCAACAGGCACCAAAGATAAGCATGGGACCAGATGCAAGAGTTTAGAAAAAGTAAAATAGCTGGTGGATGGGTCCCTTCTCTTGGCTCCCTTTCTT